GGTTGGTACAGCTGATGACCTTGAGCCTCAGTGGAACAAGGGTTTTTACGAGGGAGTAAAGGAGGAACAGGTGGGAAGACAATGGGGGACAAAGCAGATGGCCAGTCAGTATCCTGACCTGGATTGGGTGTGGGAAGATGAGCAGTACCTTCTTGAGAGGACAGTAGTGAGGCTTTGGGAGTTCCAGATGGCACATTGCTGGTGTTTGGAAGGAGAACAGGAGTGAAGGGTTGTTTTATGGAGGTAAAGGAAGCACTAGCTATGAGAGTGAAGATGAAATATGGAAGGAGCTTATATCTTGGACAGTGATTTAAGTGTGATTCTGGCATGAGTGTAGGGGCATTGCAGTGCAGTTGTGGCTTAGGAAGAGGCCCATTGTCTGTGATTTATGATCTTCAGAGTGGATGGTAGCAGCTGTGTGGAACAGCAGCTCAACTGCTTGGTCAAGTGAGGCCATGGGAGGTAACAGTGGACAGTGCCCAGTGCTAAAGTCTGGCAAGGAGGAGGAGTCAGGGTGGCTGCTGACCTTCCATCTTTGCCTTTCTCTCTAAGGCTCAAGGCCTCATGGCATCCTCACTGATGTTTAGCTTTGTAGGGTTGCTTTTTGTGGTTGATCTGGTTCTGACTGATTAATACAGACACACGATTCTAGCTTTGAAGCCTGACTGGATGATGATACTCTTGACTAAAAGAAGAAATGAAAGAGAAAGAAGGGACAGGTGTCCATGAAAACTCCAGGTTGAGATGCTCAGTAGGAGGGAGGTGTGCATAAATACAGATTTGGGAGCCATCTGCATATAGGATTGAATAAACCATAGTATTCATAGTATTGAATCTGTGAAAAAATCTGTGGTATTGACAAAAGGAAAAGGGCAAAGGACTCAGCTCTCTGGGAAATTCCCCTAGAGAAAAGGGCCAATTCAGATGATTGCATGAGATGATATATATCAAAACACTTTCTTTTTTTTTTTTTTTTGAGACGGAGTTTTGCTCTTGTTACCCAGGCTGGAGTGCAATGGCGTGATCTCGGCTCACCGCAACCTCCGCCTCCCGGGTTCAGGCAATTCTCCTGCCTCAGCCTCCCGAGTAGCTGGGATTACAGGCACGCGCCATCATGCCCAGCTAATTTTTTGTATTTTTAGTAGAGACGGGGTTTCACCATGTTGACTAGGATGGTCTCGATCTCTTGACCTCGTGATCCACCAGCCTCGGCCTCCCAAAGTGCTGGGATTACAGGCTTGAGCCACCGCGCCCGGCCGTCACTTTCTTGTATAAAACATTTGAAATCTGTTTGATAGCTTATAAAGTCTTTTATCATGTCTCAAAAATAGAGTCCTGAATAGTTTTTTGTTTTTTTTTTTTGAGTTGGAGTCTCACTCTGTCGCCCAGGTTGGAGTGCAGTGGCGCAATCTTGGCTCACTGCAACCTCCGCCTCCTGGGTTCAAGTGATATTCCTACCTCAGCCTCCTGAGTAACTAGAACTACAGGTGTGCACCACAATGCCTGGCTAATTTTCTGTATTTCTAGTAGAGACAGGGTTTCACCATTTTAGCCAGAATGGTCTCCATCTCCTGACCTTGTGATCCACCCACTTTGGCCTCCCAGAGTGCTGGGATTACAGGTGTGAGACATTGCGCCCAGCCCCAGTTTATCTTCTTAATCATTAAAACTTTTTTTTTTTTGATGGGAGACTTCTTGGATTCTATAGTATGTACCCCTCTGTCCTTAAAGTATACTGAACATAATTAGCCTTTTTTTTGATAACCCAGGATAGTTGTTATTTATAAGTGATATTTATGACCATGCCTGTGAGTTGTAACTCACAGGCTAGGCATGGTGGCTCATGCCTGTAATCCTAGCACTTTGGGAGGCTGAAGTGGGCCAATCACTTGAGGCCAGGAGTTGGAGACCAGTCTGGCCAACATGGTAAAACCCCATATCTACGAAAAATATAAAAAATTAGCCCGGTGTGTTGGTATGTTCCTGTAATCCCAGCTACTTGAGAGGCTGAGGCAGGAGAATCACTTGAACCCGGGAGGCGGAGGTTGCAGTGACTCTAGATTGCACTGCACTCCAGCCTGGTGACAGAGCAAGACTCCATCTCAAAAAAAAAAAAAAAAAAAAAGGGCTATTATCCTAATATAATTCCATGCAACCCTTCCAGGCTATTTGTACCATTCCTACTCTGTCTCCTCCCCACTAAATCTAATTAGGCTCCCCCTATCCCTCACCCAAATTTTCTACTCCAATCATTCTGTTTCCCAGACATCCTTTGTACTTTCTTTCCTCTCATAGTTGACCTGGCCTTTCTACCTGGTGAAATCCTACTCAACCTTCAATATACAACTCATATGACCATATCCTCTGGCAGACTTAATCATTCTCTTATGTTTTCCAGAGCATTTCATGCATCACATATGTCACATGATTTAAGAAATTATGGCCAGTCGAGGTGGTCACACCTAGTAATCCCAGCACTTTGAGAGTCCAAGACGGGCAGATCACCTGAGGTCAGGAGTTCGAGACCAGCTTGGCCAACGTGGTGAAACCACATGTTTTTGTTAAAAATCCAGAAATTAGCCAGGCATGGTGGTGCACACCTGTAATCCCAGCTACTTGGGAGGCTGAGGCCAGAGAACCTCTGGAACCTGGGAGGCAGAGGTAACTGTGAGCCAAGATCATGCCACTGCACTCCAGCCTGGCTGACAAAAGCAAGACTCTGCCTCAAAAAAAAAAAGAAGTTGCTTTACTTGTGTTCCTTACTGACCTTCCAATAAGCTGTGTTTCTCAAATTTTAGTATGCATTGGAATTGTTTGGATATAAGAAGTTAAATCCTCAAGAAAGTTTGATTCAGTATGTTCGGGGTTGAGCTTAAGCTTCTGCATTTTTTTACAACAAATACTTTTCCTTAATTCTGATGTGGGTTGTCCAAGGACCATAGTTTGAGAAAACCCATGGCCACTTAGTTAATGGATTCCTCCAGGGCAAGGGCCATGACTAATCCACTTTTGTATTTTTAGAGCTTACCATATAGATGAAGCTAAATGAATGTTTGCAGAATGAAATAGAGTTTACCCGGGAAGGCCTTTTGGCATGTAATTTTTGAGTTGAGACTCAAGTTGTTACAGAACCTTAAGAAAGCTTTTATCTTTCAAAGGTATAAAAAATAGCAAGACAAAATTTCCCAGGTGGTTTCCAGAATATTCCTGCTGGGGCATGCTTTGTGGGAAAGGGTTTGTTTGGTGGTCAGATACTTTCAGAAGCTGTCTGTTAGATCTACGCCCTTCACCCTTCCCAAGACACACTAGCAGATTGAAGCTTTTGAGATGTTCTTCAGGAAAGAAACCCTTTTAATCTTGGATATTTAAAACATTTTGACTAAGCATTTTCCCTATCCTTTTTTCCCCAGATAGTACCTTTTTAGAACCTGCAGAACTAATGTCCTGAGGTATTTTCTTTGGAAACTGCTCTCATAACCAAAAGTAAAACAGTAGGAATTAACACTTTATGTGTGATGATGACCTGTACTTACCTAGAATTGGAGAGGCCACTCTGGGAAGTTATAAGAAAAGAGATAAAGTATTAGTAGGCAATATTAAGGGAAAGACATTTTTCTATGGTAGGCTCTATGTTTGTATTTTGATATCATTGCTCTAGATCGTCCTGGTCAGTTATAAGTACTAAAATACCTGTGGTAGAGACAGTAGCAGATGGTTTGAGCGTGGAAGGATTGGATTCAGGTAATGGCTACTTGAATGCAAAAGTCAGTATGAAGTCAAAGACAGTAGATGAAGGCTCTGTAGGATCTGGTAACTAATTAAATCTGTAAGAACAATTTGGATGTTTTAATTCAAAGATCTAAGTGGACTGTATACTTTTTGGATATATAGTTAGACTAAGGCGAAAAAACACATTGTATTATTGACAGCTGAGAAGATGTATAATGGAGTGGTTCCTATAAGTAAGTTTTTAAATTTTAATTTTGTTAATTTTGTTTATATTTTATATTTTCTCCTTAACAGGATAAAATTTATTATAGTTTGCCTTCTAGAGAAGGTCCATATAGAAATCATGTACTTAAATTGAATTCATACACAAACTTCAAATCACATCAGAAGTTTTTCCTGGAAAAATTAGGTTCCCTTCTTTCAATAATTGGGGCTTTCTGATAAACATCAGAAACGACTTAGGGCTAACAAAGAAAGATACATTTTTATTTTATTATACATTTAATTTAGACTGGGCAAGTTCTTTCATACCACTTCATAATATAAAGTAGGTTTATTAGGCCTTAAGAATTATAGAATATTTATACTTTTCATGTAAAATAGAAAACCTAATTTTACCAGTCATTCATGCTAAATATTAAACTTAAGGTAATTATCAGGAAGACTTTATTACTACAAGCTTTTTTAAGTTTTAAAATAAGCTAGTTCTCACAAGACATTTTGTAGTATTCCCTTGGTAATGTTCCTATACAGTGAGCAGCAAAGATAAGTTTAGAGAGTTAGGACTCTACTATTGAACCTGTTTCTTGAAGAAGAAAACAGTACAATTGGGTGTCAGAAGTGGTTATTAGAAAGCTGGGTAAAAACAGTACAGGTTGAGTATCCTTTATCTGAAATGCTTGGAACCAGAAGTGTTTCAGAATTTGGATTTTTTCGGGTTTCGGAATATTTGCATATACATATGAGGTACCTTGGGGATGAGACCCAGGTCTGTAAATGAGATTCATTTATGTTTCACATGCACCTTATATGCAGAGTATGAAGGTAATTTTATACAATATTTTTAAAGATTTTGTGCTGGATACAAAGTTTTGACCCATGACATGAGGTCACATGTAGAATTTTCCATTTGTGGCATCATGTAAATGCTCAGAAAGTTTCAGAATTTGGAGCATTTCAGATTTTGGATTTTTGGATTTGGGATGTTCAACTTGTATTTCCGAATACTTAAGATAGGGCTTAATTTGTCTTCCTTTTTATTGTCTTTTCAGACAAATGACCATGGAAACAGTTGAATCCCAGCATGATGGAAGTGTAACAGCCTCTTTGACAGAGAGCAAGTCTGCTCATATGCAGACTCAGACTGGCCAAAATTCAATCCCTGCTTTAGCTCAGGTAGGCAATAGGCAGGCAACTGTTGAAAGTTAAAATATATGGAAATGAGAATTAGGTGCAGATTCTGTTTGCTTGCCATTGATCTTAAATTTTCCATGTTCCCTGGTTATCAGCCATTCTTGCTGATTTGATTGTGAAGAAAAGATTCTAATCAGCCCTGCATTTTAACAGATGTTCGGCGGTGCGCCAGTCCATTGCCATCACCACTATGGAAGGAAAAACAAAAACCCTTCCTGAATATGTAATCCTCAAAGTATGATTTGAGAAGCTTGCTAATTCCAAATCGATACAGTTCTGATGTCCATAGCTGTTAAGATGACAGAAATCTTACCATTTGGCTTGATCAGTACTTTCTTTTCAGTTAGGTCTCGAACTTTGAATTGGTTTCATTCAGAGAGCACCAGTATCAGTTAATACCTGTTTCCAGATCCCAAAATTTATTTCTGAGATGTGTAGTAAAAACAAACACCAACACATATTTGTTAATTCATCAGCTATTTACCGAATGTCTGCTGTGTCTAGTTATTCCAGATGCATGGGGATATGTGGTTTCTGGCCTTAAATATCTCATGGTTTAGTGGGATAGAAAGATATTTTAGCAATAATTCCAGAGTAGGGTAAGAAGCGCTGTAAAATACCATGCACAAAATGAATAAGGCCTACAGAAGAGGGAGCAGCCAGCTGACTAGGAGTGCTTTACAGGTCTAGACACAAAGGATGAGTAGGAGTCTGCCACATTGATAAGGTGAGGAAGCATATTCCAGGCAGAGGGAAGAGTGTGCACAGAGGCCCAATGCCAGGGCATGGGATGTTCAGGGAACTACAGGTATTGAGTTTAACTGGAGCCAAGTGTCTGGGCTGGTCAGTGCAGCTGGTAAAGGTGAGTGGAGGACTGTATACACTTCAGGGTTTAGAAATGTATTCTAAATAGTCCTGAAACATTTTCAGGTGCCCACCATGTTTCAGCACTTGTAGCCATGTGGACGTGGCATTGGAAGTCAGTGAGTTGGGAGTGAAGACACCATCAGGGTGCCTGGTGACATCAAGGTAGTGTGGGATACAGAGCAGTGGCGAGACCTTTGTGGTACCTTAAAGGGAGAATGAAAAGGACCTGGTGGCTGACTGGAAGGCTTAGGGGAAACACTAGGCACTCCTTGGGTTGTATTAGGACAGACTGGTATGAGAGCTCTCCTTTCCCATGCACCCGGCCTGCGTTTCTTTCCTCTTTAAAGCTGCCAACACCCACTCATTCCCTGGAGGTTTTCTGCAAGTATTCTGTAGAGCTGCATCTCCCTAGCAATACCTTTGGAAGACAGGCCTGCAGGCCTTTTGCTTAAACACACACACAGACACACACACACACACACACACGTTTAAAAAAATGTGTGTTCATTGTAGATGATAAATATTAAAAGGAAGAATACAAAAACTATCCATAGATTTAATCATGGTTAACATTTTGGTATAGCTCCTTTAGTCTTTTTGTCTGTGTGAATAGAATAGAAAGCATATACTTTTTTTTCATGATTTTGGGATTTTGTAGAATTTTTAGAGCTGTGGTTTCTGGTCAGTGATTCTGCCCTTCTTTGCTGAAGTTGTAGTTGAAAGCACTTTTTTTTTTGTAAAGACAAGGTCTCACTATATTGCCCAGGCTGGTCTCAAACTCCTGTGCTCAAGCCGTCCTTGCACCTCAGCCTCCCAAAGTGCTGGGATTACAGGTGTGAGATGCTTGCGCCCAGCCTGAAAGTTCTTTTTTCTGCCTCCACTTTTCTCTAGTTAGGTCCTGGCTCATTATCTTCTACAGATGCCTTTTGCCCCAGAATTCTGGGGCTGCAGTCAAAGCAATAGATCCCCATTATGTAAATATGATCATTTGCAATTCTGAGGAGTTTCAGGCTAGATGACAGCCAGCTCTGTGAGCCTCAGTCAGAAATTACCACTCCAGCCTGGGTGACAGAGAGACCCTGTCTCAAAAAAAAAGAAGTTGCCAACAGGTCAAGTAATGCGAAGTCTGAAAAGTAGCTTTAGGTTTCTCAGGGCTTGGAATTGAATAGGAGACCAGTGGGCGGAAACTAGGTTTTAGTAGGTTAGAGAATAAACAGGAGGGGAAGAGTATAGACTCTTTTAAGAAATTTGTCTTGAAATAATAGAGAAAGATAGGTTTATGAGACAAAGGGGTGAGAACTGGGATGTGGGAAATTTGGGAATGTTTTGAATAAAATGAAAGGGGAAGATACAGACTTGTGAGAAGGCTGAATCAAGGAACTAGAAACGCCTATAGTTTGTAATGCTTCTTTTAAAATCTCAAATAATGTATGTTAATGTTCTATGCTAATAAATATTGATAGTTATTAAATCTGGATAGTAATTCATGGAGTTTTGGTATTTTTCTATTTCCTATGTGTTTGAAGCATTTGTTTTGTTTTGTTTTGTTTGTTCGAGACTGAGTCTTACTCTGTCACCCAGGCTGGAGTGTAGTGGTGCAACCTCCATTCACTGCAACCTTCACTTCCCGGGTTCAAGCAGTTCTCATGCCTCATTCTCCTGAGTAGCTGGGATTACAGGCATCTGCCACCACACCCAACTGATTTTTGTATTATGAGTAGAGACAGGGTTATGCCATGTTGGTCAGGCTGGTTTTGAATTCCTTGGTCTCCCAAAGTGCTGAAATTACAGGCGTGAGCCACCATACCCAGAACAGTAAACTATGGTTTTTATCTTTCACATGCTAGAAATGCAGAGCGATTAAGAAGTAATCTGTATGCTGACTCATGGATTATTTTAGTTAACTAAGGATTATCCTCCATGCCATCCGTGGATCATAATGTTTTTAAGAATTACAACACAATCCTTAGCAGTCAGAATTTCTGAACATAATTACTCATTTAAGTTCTTGTAATACCAGAAGCTGTTTGTTTATGAGTACGTGTTACCATTGTACAGGATTAAATATCTTACAAGGAGTAGGAAATCAAGCTGAGCTCTGTTAACCCTGTGATGTATGCCAAAAGTGACTGACTCTTCTCAATTCCTGATGGCTTCATATTTACTTGCCACTTGTCTCATTTTTCTTTAAACTTGAGGATTGTAAATTTCCATATGTTTTACATTTAAATTTAGTTGTGTATAAAGAGGAATTTATGACACTTGCCTTCCTTGTTATATGATCAGCTTATCAGTAAACAGTGTGGGAACAAAAGGCATGAGCAAAACATTTAGTGGGTTTGATTTTCTGCATCTAATGTCATTTGATACTAGTTGTTTTGACTGCCCTGACCTTTCTTGTGCTTCTGCTAATCAAGAATATGCTCTGAAAATCATCAGAGACATAACAGCTGTTAAGCTTGGTCTTGGCTGTCAGGCCCCTGTTCTGCTGATAGATTGAGGGGAGGTGCAGGTATTCAGGGGAGACTGGAGTTTTGCTTTTCTATTTTATAACTTTTTAGTAATAAATGGAGCCTTTCTCTTCTCTTTGAAAATAAAATCATGGTGGTGTAATGTCAAAAAGTTGGAAGCAGGAGTTGCCATTAACAAATCCTGGTATGGCAAATAATTGGAGTTTAAATGTTGTCTTGGGTTTCTTCTTGTCTAAATTATTTTTGTGCCGATTTATTAATGGAAACTGGCATCTTATTTATTAAGTTTGTGTGTTGATATATAGGACCAGATCCACCGAATCCTGGTAAAACTGTTGATAATAAATTGGAAGTCTATTTTAAATAACCTGGCCAGGGGGAAATCTTTTCCAGAAATCAAAATGGCAAAAACCAAAAATACTGTATGTCTAATACAAGTAGTTTTAAAATAGTGACACATCATGTAGAAATAATATGGTTTTTAAATAGGTAATGGGAAGTTAAAACCTATTTTTGCTGTGAAAAACTTCAAACATGTATGAGTAGAATAATCATTCCACATATATATAAAGTTAATAATTATTAAGATTTTACTAGGCCAGGCATGTGGCTCACACCTTTAATCCCAGCAATTTAGGAGAGCTTGAGGCAAGAGGATTGCTTGAGCCCAGGAGTTAAGACCAGTGTGGGCAATATAGTGAGATACTATCTCTATAATAAAAAATAAATTAATACAAAAAATATTTTGTCAGGTGTGGTGGCATGTGCTTGTAGTCCCAGCTGCTTGGGAGACTGAGGCCAGTGGATTGCTTGAGCCCGGGAGTTCAAGGTCGTGGTTCACTATGATCATGCCTATGAAAAGCCCCTGATAACATAGCGAGACCCTGTTTTTTAAAATATATATATATATATTTTTTAGCACTTGCCTCATCTGTCTTCTTTTTTTCTTGTTGTCGCTGAAGTATTTTAAGCAGCCCTGCAGATCTCAGACATCATGTCATTTTACTCCTACTTACTTCTGGGTATGCAACTCTTAAAAAGTTATGGACATTTTCTTATATAACAAAATGTCATTATACCTAGTTAAGTCAAGTATAATTAATATGCAGTCCATATTCATTTCACAAATGTATGATCTACTCTGAAGGCAACAGAGTGTATACCTTGAACTTTTCTTGTTCTCAAACTCTTGGGAATTGGTAACACTGCCATGAATTCTAGGTGGGTGAGGTCATTCAGATGGAGCCAGTAGAAAAGATGTACCTTAAAACTGACTTTCTAAAGCGTAATTCCCCGTAGCTGCTGATGAAGCCTGGAGGCCTCGACTCTGCAAGCTAAATAACTTTTCTTTATAAATGATCACTTCTCAAGGTTTCAGCAAAGATAGAAGGGAAAGATGAAAGGAGCAGCATCACAGGAGTCAAAGGGGTAGAAGGAAACTCTGGAGATTGTCAAGGTCAGCATACTGCCTCAAGAGAATTAGTTCTCATATAAAACTTAACCTCTCCAAGGACCTCTGTATTTTTGGAAACAAGGAGACGCTAGGGAGGCAGAGAAAGCCACTAGGGAATGTTGTTCAGAGATTATACTCTCCTGATTTCCTTTCTCATCCTTTGCATTCTAAATGTACACTGTGTAAGGAGT